ATACACTTATAAGGGTATAGAGTTACAAGAGTTATTGCAAAATTTATATTTGTACACCCATGCGAAACTAAGAAAATCATAATTCAAGATAAGTAACGAAAAAATCCAATAGCGCGCAAATGGCAACGCACAATGTCACTATGTTCATATTAACTACGGCCAAAAATAGAAGGATTTGTCATAGGTGGATGAAATTTGGTACAAGTGCTTATTATTGGCCAATAATTTGGTATAAGTGCTTATTATTGGCTAATCTTCCAATAATTATGCATTTTTCGAGATTTCATTAAGCGGCCAAAGTGTGCCGCTCGATGCACTTTACTATGCAAAATCACTAAAAATGACGCAACCGATTTCAGTAATCTCCTATGAAAATACACAAAAGGACACCTATTTTAAAAGAATCGGTTAAGAACCGCGGATGTGCCTCCACAATCGACATTTGATAAAATACGCATATTATTCGCGTATCGATATATTTTTGAATCCGCGATTATTTACGCGAATTTGTCAAAATAAGTTTTTGCAGTTTTCCCCACATTCAAGGTACCTATATCCGCCGTTTTATTTGGCGGAATTGAACATGGATAGGCCAATTAGATCCGGCACGTAAAAAAACTAAAATCACGCGGGGTTCCACGGAATTTGAATGGACTTTCTTAATTTTAGACTCAAAAAATATGTTTTTCATACAAATTTACGCACCAAATTTTCGTCTTTGGAACCCACTTTGCAAAGAATCTACGGTGAGCACATTCATGAGATATACACTAAACGAAGCAAAATCACGAGTTCTACAATCCTATAATTAGTTTAGTCCATTATCTGGATGCGCGCTCTAATTATAAGAAAAATTCAAAAAACACCGAAAATCCGGCTTCAAAATGTCAGCATCCATTTTGGGTGGATGCACTGATTATATCGAAAACATACATTAGAACCATATTGTCCATGGGGTATTCTGCAACTTAGTCACTGATCACATGTTCGTGCGTTGCGTAGTTTAGCCACAAACTAGGAAGGAACACAAAAAAACTCGTTGGCTTCAACACATTTTTACCCATTTTTTATATTACCACCATCATAGCTTCCATGCAACTTATTATTTATTACCAATATTTTAAGATTTTGACAAAACACTTCATTTTATAGAAATGAATTTAAATTGTATGCAATATGTTCATATTTCGCGAGTTATAACCTTGCAAACCTCAGTTTCAAGGAATTTAAAAGATTTTTGTAATTTCCCATATAAATATACAGTGGCTCCATCGCATAATCGGACAAAAGGAGTATATACTAAAACCAGAAGATTTTTGGAAGCAGGTAATTTGATGATAGATCATCTTTAAATACATTTCTATTGATAGTTTTCACTATATTAAGGTTCTGTTTACTGACGAAAGCAAATTTAATTTGCACGGATCAGATGGAAAGATGTATGTGTGGCGTAAGCCAAATGCTGAATTTAATCATAAGAATACAAAAGCCACTGTTTGTCCACCTCAACATTTTAAAACAAAATGTAAAGCAAAGTGCAGACAAATTGGGTATCGCGAACAACTTTGCCTTTTATCAAGACAACGATCCCAAGCACACTTCAGGTGTTGCAAAGCTTTGGTTGATCCATAACTGCCCAAAACTTATACAAACACCTGCACAGAGCCCAGACCTTAACGTAATTGAGCATCCTTGGGAAGAATTAGCTAGGAGAGTGTATGAAAAAAATTTAACTCCTTAGTACAGCTTAAGGAGGCTTTACTGGAATCGTGGAACTCCATAGAGCCGGAGGTATGCCAGAATTTGGTCAAATCAATACCGAAGCGTTTACAGGCCGTTCTGGACAACAAAGGATATGCAACTAAATATTAATTTCTCGATTTTTCCATTTTTTAACATTGATGCTTTGCTTTGTCCGATTTTGCGTTGAACACAATAAATTAAGTTAATTTTGTTTTTCTGACGAAATTTTCTGTTATCACTAGAAAAGTTGTTGTTTTTTGTATTGTTCAGAAATATAAGTAATGTGTAAATAAAAGCGAAAAAAACTACACATTTAGACAATTTTTTTGATATGTATAGCATTATTATATCTGACAACCACTTGTCCGATTATTCGATGGAGACACTGTATTAATCGGAGCAAACATCCTGCTAGCCATGGAAATTCCAATGTATGCTATATAACTAGTCCCAGCACTAGTTATAACCCATACAAGTAGGGCTGTTAGAGAGTAACTAGTCGTTGTCTGTAAACCTCTTACTAGTAACTAATTATACCCTTCACCACACTGTGGTAAGGGTATTATGTCTTTGTGCATATGTTTGTAACAGGCAAAAGGTAACGAGATAGACACATGGTTCCTTTTGAGAATATGCATAGAATCACTTTCTAAGTCGATTTATGCATGTCCGTCCGTCCGTCTGTCTGTCCATGTTAAATTGTAAACAAAGTACAGGTCGCATTTATGATCCGAATTGGACGAAATTTGGCATAGGTCACTTATTCGGCCCAAGGACGAACCCTATTGAAATTGGGAAAAATCGGTTCAGATTTAGATATAGCTCCCATATATAAATTTAACCGATTTAATGTAAACGGTCCCTATATATCTTTCGATTTGCACGAAATTTGGTACAGCCTAATCATTTAGGTCTAGAATGATGTCTGCCAAGTTTAGTGAAAATCGGTCCAGATTTAGATATAGCTCCCATATATAGTTTATTCCGATTTCATGTAAATGGTGCCCCAAAGTCCCTATATATCTTTTGATTTGCACGAAATTTGGTATAACGTGCTGAATTAAGACTAGAGTGATGTATGCCAAGTTTGGAGAAAATCGGTCCAGATTTAGATATAGCTCCCATATATAGTTTCTTCCGATTTCATGTAAATGGTGCCCCAAAGTCCCTATATATCTTTCGATTTGCATGAAATTTGGTACAGTCTAATCATTTAGGTCTAGAATGATGTCTGCCAAGTTTCGTGAAAATCGGTCCAGATTTAGATATAGCTCCCATATATAGTTTCGTCCGATTTCATGTAAATGGTGCCCAAAGTCCCTATATATCTTTTGTTTTGCACGAAATTTGGCATAACGTACTGAATCAAGCCTAGAGTGATGTCTGCCAAGTTTGAAGAAAATCGGTCCAGATTTAGATATAGCTCACATATATAGTTTCGTCCGATTTGATGTAAATGGTCCACCAAAGTCGCTAAATATCTTTCGATTTGCACGAATTTTGGCATAACATACTGAATTGAGTCTAGAATGATGTCTGCCAAGTTTCGTGAAAATAGGTCAAGATTTAGATATAGCTCCCATATATAGTTTCGTCCGATTTCATGTAAATGGTGAACCAAAGTCCCTATATATCCTTCGATTTGCACGAAATTTGGCATAACGTACTTAATTGAGCCTAGAATGATGTCTGGCAAGTTTCGTGAAAATCGGTCCAGATTTAGATATAGCTCCCTTTTATTATAGATTGATTTTAAGTAATTGACGTACTAAGGAACCAATAGGAACAAAACCTTCTGAAATTAGTATATCCTAACCTGTGACAAGTTTGTTTGAAATCGCTCAATATTTGGATAGAGCTTCCATATATATATTTTCGCCCGTTTTCAAGTAAATTGGGCATCAAATGTTGATGTCAATCTGACTAACCTCCTCATGTTTTTGCACAACTTACAAAATTGAGCATAGAATTACGTAGTTGCGTTTTCTAGAAGTGCAGACATAGCCCAACGGATGACCTATTTGTATTTGTTTGAAGTCGATTGACATACTTTATGGATAGATCTAGGTAGATTCACATTTAGATAAATATCACATATTTTTTTCATCCAATTTTATGTTATAGTCCTGTTTAATATACCCATAGTGGTGAAGGGTATTATATAGTCGGCCCCGTCCGACTTTACTACTTTCCTTACTGGTTAATTACGAAATAGTTCTTCTTGCTAGCGGGATATTATTAAACATAAAATGCACCTGTTATTTTCACACAATGTGGCTATCAGGGATGTATTTTTTTATTTTCTTCCTTCCAATTGTAAGTTAAATTTATTACCACTAACAAAAATATCGTTCATTTATTTTTTATCAGTATTTCCGCCTTCTTTTCCCGTTTGGTATTCTGTATAGTATAGCTCCACGTGGGTTAGGATAATTAATTTTATCTAACTGTCAGTGTATCTATGGTGCAGCGAATCCAAAGTGCGGTAAAGCCGAACTTAACACTTTTGCATTTCTTTTAAATTTTAAAATAAAAATCTTCTTCATTCATTTATAAAATACATCAATTTTATTTAAAAAAAATCTTATATATTAATCTTACAATTCCCTCAAGCATTTTAAATGGCGAAATATAAGCTTTGGAAATTTATACGCATACTATTGGCACATCCGTGTACAAGATAGACAATGTGAAATGGTACTTGCCACCAAAAAGAAAAGGAGACGAGTCAGAAAAAGTAGTTATATCCTTCAATAATGTATATATAAAATTAATAAATCAATACAAAAAAGGGAGAGTCTAAAATAATATTCGAATGAAATGCAAGTACCTTTACGACATTTAATACATATATAAATATTACAATATCTATTGAATACATTTTAAAATTTGCGCAAAAAAATAAAAAAGGCAGTTTTCAAATAAAACATAGATTGGCCACCAGAGTTTCTAAGGCACTTGGTTGTTTTTTTAGGTTTGTAAGTATTATTTTTTTATATCCCTGTTACTGGCCAGTGATAGAAGAAATTTAATTGACATTTGAATTAAAATTGATAAAGACAAAAAGTATATATGTTAACATTCATTCATTGCTATTTCTTAATAAAGCTTAATTAGGATTTCTTTAACTAAATTATTTTTTTAAACTAATGGTAATATAAAAAAAATATGTTTTGTTCTGTATTTTTTTTTTTTTTTTGTTTTGTTTGTTATTGTGTGAGGCTGACAAAAAAGTTTTCTATGTTCTCTGATTCGATTTATGGCTCCAATCGACTTCTTGAGAAACATTCAGCCGGTAATGCCTCAGATATCAAACGAACATTCGTTACTTCGGCTACCAATTCTTGCATTTCTTTTTCATATTTATCTATGGTTTTCTTTTGGATGTTACGCATTTCCCGGAATTTATCAATGCGTCCTGTTAAGTTGGCGCGGGTAACTTCAGCTTCAACGGCATCCAAACGTTTTTCTAAAAGTGAGAAAATGTGAAACAAAAACATTTTGTTTAGTGAAACTATTTAAATATTCTGAAAGAGATAATTTTCGTAACTTACCCAATTGATCCAAATCAGCTGTATTGATATCCTTCAGATTTATCAATTCATCCTTGATATCATCCAATTCTTTGACAGCCTTATTGATTTGTTTTTTGGCTTCTTCTGTGTCGGCCTTAGCTTGACCCACCTGGATTTGAATAACAACAATTTTTTTAGATTTTCTATTTTTAGGATAGTATCTGAAGCCTGCTTACCTTTCGCTTGGCATCATCGACTAAGTTATCATCTTTGCTGGATGACTCTTCTAATCGGGCAATATCGGTTTCGGTTATTTTAACACGATGGTTTAATTGGTCGGCTTCATCTCGCAGTTTACGGGCATTTACTTTAGTTTCGTTGGCACGTCGGCGTATAAATTCGGCATCCTGGAAGAACAAGAAACAAGTAAGACGATGAGATCGATATATACTATTTTCAAAACCAAATATTCCAGAAGTAGTAATATTTGCTCTGAAGATAGATCATGTTGGTTCACTACTTCTGGTACCTCCCCTACAAATAATATACGTTTTGAGAACTGCTAAATCTCATAGAAACTAATTGAACTTTTCAAATCGTAACATTTTTAAAATACATGGTTTTGGTTAGAAAATGGAATCTATCATTTAACTCATTATTAGACCTCCTCACTCTTCGGTGGAAACGTGAGGCTAAAACTTTAAAAATACCGAAAATGTGGCGGTACTGTTATACTGAGTATTGTCAAAAGATGGACGTGTATTGATAACTTTTATGAATAGTTGTATGTCGGCCTCCAAGAATCCGGAATATCAAATTACATCTGCTTTGAAGGAAAAATGGGGCTAAATCCCTTCAAAATACCGAAAATTTGTGGGACCTTCATACGATGGCTTTCAACAGATCGATAGAATCGAGAGAAGCCACGGCCCGATTGACTGTCGTTCATAGTCACAATGTTCATTTTGACGGAAGGCAAATCCCTTGCTAGTTTGAACAGGCATGCCACTGTTTTGAGCAAAGATGGAAATCGAAATATTTGTACAATCACCTTTTAAGATAACATCGCTGGCACTGGCGTCCGGTGAAATTTGGGCAACAAGTTGTAATTTGAATTTCAAATCGGTATTATACTAAGTTGATGACCCATGTACAGATCGGGCGCCAAACGGTAAACATTGATTATATTTGTGATTATATTTTGTGCCCTCTTCACGGTCGTGGTACATTGATTATAGAATAGAATTTTCAAATTTCACACACAAACCCCTTCAAATACAACTCATAAATATTGGACAGCCAAATCCAACGATTCCGACACCTAGACTCCAAATATTCTGTCATGCATTACTGCGGAATACTTCTGTCGGTAATACAACAGAAATTTTCTAACCATTTTTATTTAATTCGAGAAATCTTCAAGCAAGCCCCGTTAAAATTACACATGCAGATTTGAAAAACTTTTTTTAAACATAGCCTAAGTATTATAGCAGATGTTTTCTAATTACCTTCGAAGCTTGTTCGGCAAACTTCTGCTGAGCTTCCTGGGCATTCAGTTTAGCTTCATTGGCATTTTTGTTGGCACCCTCTAATGCTGTTTCAGCTTGGCGTATCAATTCGTCAGCCTTTTGGATTTCTTGTTCAATACTGCCAACCGTTTTCAAAGCCATTTGGGCATTTGCAGCTGACTTTTCAACATCGGCTTGGAAACCTATACAACAATTTCCATGTAATTATATTGAAAAAGTAAAAATCTAACTAACTACTTACCAGCCAAGGTGTTGTAGGTATTATTGGCCTCCTTCAAGGTATTGTCTCCCTGTTCAACAGCTTTGGTTGCCTTTTCAAAGGCATCCTGGGCCCGCTTCAACAAATCAATGTCATCCATCTTTTGTTGGTTGGCTCTAAAAAAATAAAATTTTTATCAACAATCATTAAATTATATCGTTTATATCACTCTCACCTTTCAAGCATAATCTCCGCTAAAATCAGTTCATCTTCCAAATTTCCAAACAATTCACCATTACTATTCGAAACATCATTCACCTGACGCAATAGTTCATCGGCCAAAATGTTAGCCTGCAATGCTTCCTCTTTCAATTTCTTTATGTCAATATTGGGCGCCACCAAACCATTCACATCGGTTAACAAAGTCAAAGCAGCATCGTACACTTCATTGGCTTTGCGCAAAGCTTCTTTGGTAATCTGGGCCACGGTGTTCAAGGTCTGCTTGACGGTATTCAATTCCAAACGCACTTCGGTTCTTAGTTCTTCGTTGACCTTTTGTTGCAAATCAATAGCATTCTTGGCCAGGAGGTAAGCCTTTTCGACAGCATCATTAGCATCCTTGGCATTCTTCAAATCGAATTGTGCCTCAGATTCCAAGCGATCAGCCAAAGCACGAGCTTCACGTGAAATTTCCGAAATTTGATTGGATTGTACACCAAATTCGACGGATTTGTTTTGAGCCTTAGCTAAGGCCTGGGCACCTTCGTCGTTGAGTAAATTCAAGGCATTCTTCAAATCACTCTTGGCCGCCTCAATGATGTCCTGCACATTAGTATGGTTTTGCTTGGCCTTGTCGATTTCAATATTGGCAGCATCTTGCAATGTATCGGCATTATCCAAATGTGTGTTAACACTTTCCAAACGGCTACGTAAATCATCCAGAACTTCGACATATGTGCGACCACCTTCACCCACACCATATTTGGCATCCATAAGCAGGATATCAACTTTTTCCTGCACAGCCTTTAATTTAGCCTCAAACTCACCGTCATTGGTTACAGGCGTGCGGGCAATTTCATCCAAGGTCGAACTGAGATTTGACAATTTGGCACGATGTTCATTGGCAGCATCCTGAACAAGGTTGTAGCAATCGGGACAGTCAATACAACCCAAGTGGCGATTGTATTTATTCTCCTTACAACGATCGCAACGTCTACCCTCAACATTGTCATTACAAGGACATTGTCCATTCTGGTCACACTGGAAGCCTTTCGAACCACTTTCATCACATTCGCATGGTTTACAACCTTCCGACGAGAATCCATAGTGATAAACAGCACATTGATCGCAGTGAAGACCCACAACACCGGGTTTACAGAAACATTGACCAGTAACACGATCACAGGTTGAATTGTAACTACCCACAGGATCACACATACAATTTTCACAACCGTTGCCGGACTTGATGTTGAAGAAACCAGGTTGACATTCACCACAATCACGACCAATCACATTGGGTTTACAATGACACTGACCGGTGACCTGATCACATTCGGAAATACCATCTTGGTTTTGTTCGGTACCAGGGAGATAACAGCTACAACGATCACATTTACCATGAGGCAAGGCCAAAGGGTCACCGAAATGGCCGGGCAAACATTTGTCACAATATTTGCCAGCTGTGTTGTGGATACACTTAAGACATTCACCAGTGGTACGATTACAATTACCCACGGCGTTGGGATCTACATTGCCGTTACAGTCACAAGACTTACAGGTTTGGACGACACCGCTCAAGCCGGTCGGATCGCCATAGAACCCATCTGAACATTGCTCGCATCTGGCGCCGAAATAACCCACGGGACATTCGGTACAAATGACAGTATCACCGCTAATTTGCATACAGGCTCCATCGTTGGGACATGGACAGCGTTTACAGTCGTATTTGGTACCTCCCAAGGCATTGCCATAATAACCCTTGGCACACTGATCACAGTTATCTCCTGTGGTATTGTGTTGACAAATACAACGACCCGTCTCCGAGTCACAAATGTCGGCGTGACCATTACAATCACAAGGAATGCAAGGCATGAAGGGACCACCTCTAGCTGGACTGTGGCGGTAACCAGGAGCACAAGATTCACAGAATTGACCTAAGTATCCCTCGGGGCAAGTACACTGTTCAATCCAAGTGGCAGGCTGGCCAGCAGCACCACGGTGAGCGGTTTGCAATTCGACGTCGTCGAGGATGGCCTCACCCTGTTTCGAGTAAGTGGCACGAATTTTAATGGCAGTCAAGTTCGATAGAATTGAAAGGAAGCCACGGGCCGATTGACTGGGTTGCCACTGATAGTCACGATGTTCGTTGAGACGGAAGACAAATTCCTTGCTAGTTTGATCGGGCATGCCATTGTTTTGGGCAAAGATGGGCAGCGAAATCTTGGTGCCACCACCTTCTAAGATAACATCACTGGCACTGGCATCGGGGGCAATTTGGGCAACCAGCTGTAATTTGAATTTCAAATCACGATTATACGAAGCTCTCTGATCACCCAAGAAACGATCGGGCGCCAAAAAGTAAACATAGTCATTGCCATGGGCCGTTGTACCAATACTGTGACTGTATTGATTATATTTGATATCGACTTCGTGGTTGTACAAATCCACAGCACCCCAACGTTCTTTGTGCTTATTGAAATTGGAAGTGGTCGAGACAATGGAATAGCCTGGAGCTGTTTGACACTCTGAGGTGTGGCCGTAACAGAAACAGGGGGTACAACCAAAACGATTTGTCAAATCCAAATTGAAGAAGCCGGGTTTACATCTGAAATAAAAACGGGGAATTTACATTACAACATGTTTTATGGATTTCATATTGACTTTGCACTTACTCATTACAGCGTTTACCCTCCACGTTGTCCTTGCAACGACAAACACCTGTTTCGGGATCACATGATGGTGTATTATCCAATGAACCGCGAGGATCACAACCACATGGCTGACAGCCATGAGCACTGAATTGATAAAAGTTGGCAGCACAACGATCACACTTGTCGCCGGTAACACCTGGTTTACACTGACATTTGCCTTGGCTATTACATTGCAGGGATCGGGAACCGACCGGATCACAGCCACAGTGAACACAATAGTTATCCTCGCGCATATAGAAGTTCTCCTTACAGCGTTCACAATTGGCACCATCACGATTTTCACGACAATCCAAACAGTGACCACCATGACCGGTTAAATTGAACAGGTGAGCATCGAAGAAACATTTATCGGCATAGCCGTTACAGTTACAAGCTGTGGAAAAAATGTTTGTATTTGTTGTATTTTTAGTATAAACAGAATAACATATGACAGATTAGAAAACCCTCCAAAAAACCGCATGGATATATCATAAGAAATATTAAAGAGAACGATTGCAAAATTGGTATACCCTCCATCACCACCATAATGTGGAGTTTACATTAAATTTGTCTTTTCGTATTTAACATTTCGAAATATTCTCTCGCAATATATATCGTTGGTTAGCTAAGTACTTCGATTTGTTACAAGTCACATTTGGATACAAAGGGGCTTGGCTATTTTGCAATAAAAACCAGTAAGGAAAGTAGTAAAGTCGGACTGGGCCGACAATATGATACCCTTCACCACTTTGGGGATATTCTACATACAGATGTCGTCTTTTCGAAGGAACATTTCTTGAAACTTGGCACACATCATTCTGCGCCTAATTCCATACTCTATGCCAAATTTCATGCAAATCGAATGATATATAGGGACTTATATCTAAATCTGAACCGATTTTCTCGAAACTTGGAACACATCAATCTGGACCTAATTCAGTACTCTGTGTCAAATTTCATGCAAATCGAAATATATGGAGGGACTTTGGTGCCCCATTTACCTTAAATCGGACGAAAATATATATGGGAGCTATACCTAAATCTGGACCGATTTTTCCCAATTTCAATAGGGTTCGTCCTTGGGCCAAATAAGTGACTTGTGCCAAATTTCATCCAAGGAAAGGAACCATGTGTCTATCCCGTTTCCTTTTGCCTGTTACAAACATATGCACAAAGACATAATACCCTGTACCACAGTGTGGTGAAGGGTATAAAAATGGTATCCCAAATAACTCGCCAACAATAATGTTGATATATTCTTGATCAGAATATATTTCTATGCCGATTTAGCCATGCCCGACTGTCTTTTGAAATCTCGATAGGATCGCAGTATTTAAGATAGAGCTTTAAAATTTTGCACACACATTGTTATTTCTACGATAGACCCCATATAACGATAACCCGAAGTTTTTTTTATCGAAGTGGCTGTAATTTAGTATTTTGGGTTCTCATTTGTTAGCAAAATTATCTACGATTGTATCTATTTTCTTTACAGCGATCGCAACGTTTGCTCTCAACATTATTTACAGAACATCGGATTTACAGAAACATTGACCAGTAACACGGTCACAGGTGGAATTGTAACTACCCACAGGTCACACATACACAATTTTCACAACCGTTGCCAGAAATTCTTAATATAGAACCACTGTTTCGGCTAGCCCACATATAACACTATTTGCGAATTTTCGTTTTTTTTTTTGGAGTGTGGGTACGGTTGTCAAAAAATTTTTGGAGAAAATTAATATTTTGAATTCTCAATGTGTGGAGATATTCCTAATAATAATTATCAATATTGTGTAGACCCCACTTATAACAGTACCTCCCATTATTGGGGGTTTTAAGCGAATTACCTCTAATTAATTATTTTGGTTTTCATTGCAAACAAAACTCTTCCTATCAAAAAATATCAATATCCGAATTTCTTACTCACTATTTACCAAATACCAAAGTATTTGCTGTTTAAAATCTATGCGATTGGTTTCCAATGAATATTCCCATTGACCTGCGACACTGGCAAACAAAGAACAAAATAGCGACAACAATATTTTCGGCATCCTTTACACTTCTAATATGCAACAAAAACTAAAATTTTATTGATCGCATAAAGTATCTTCTTGACAATGGTCTTTGACAATTCATTCTAACGGTTTTCGTATCCAAACATTAGACTTTGCAAACTCTTCTCTTTTGCTGGAGGTAGTCTTTGCCATTTTAGGTTCAGAACAACTTTGTCCACAATTGAAATCCCTTTCCCCGCCAATACTTACGTTTACATTCATTGACATCGGTCGATGTGGCCATCTTCCATTTGACATCATTGTACAATGGCAAACACCGCTCACAGTCGGGACCATCGGTGTTGTGTCGACACTCGCAAACCAGTCGTCGTTCACCATGCATACCGGTACTTTCAACACATTTACTGGCGTGACCATTACACTTGCAGCGGGCACCCACAGCAATATCGGAAATTGCATAGAAATATGATTTCAATACTTGAGCATCGCCGAAAAGTTCATCACCGAAGGTGTTGAGACGATCAAGGGTAATGCGAATATCAGTGGCTGTTACCCATTCCTAAAAAGAGAGAAAAGAATATAGGTAGACCTTTAAATTAAGTTCAAGGCGAAAACAATATCAAGAAAAAAATCAAAACATTTCATTTGAAATTAAAATAATTTCATTCGAAATTCAATAATTATTCCATTTGTGATTCAAAATATTTCATTTGAAATTCAAATAATTTCATTTGTGATAAAACTTTACATTTAGAAATATTTATATTGCGTTTTAAATTAGCAATTGAATCCTTTGGATTCCTAATGAAATGTTTTAAATTACAAATGGAAAAATTTGAATTTTAAATTAAATGAGATTTATTACAGTTAACCAACTGATTAATTTGGATTAAAAATGCAATGTTTTTAATTAAAAATGCAATTTAATTAAAAACGCAATTTCAAATGAAATGATTTGCATTACAATTGAAACAATTACAATAACAAATGAAATTCTTGAATTTGATATTTATAAATAATTCATTTTTTTTTAATATTTTTTTTATTTATTACAAATGGAATAGTTTGCATTTCAAATAAAATGTATGTAATGAATTGCAATTGAAATGATTTGAATTATAGATGGGATCCTTGAATTACTGTAGAAATATATCGATATTTAAATGGAGTTCTCGAATCACAATTAAAATGTTTTGAATTATTTCTCAAACACGTGCACACTTTTTCACGTGTATTGTTTTTTTTCATGTTATTTCGGTAGTAATTCAAAACATTTCATTTGATATTCATAATAGTTCATTTGAAATTCAAAGACTTACAATTACAACTGAAATGTTTTGAATTGTCATCATAATAATTCAAATTCATACTTCGGCAGTAGTTCATAACATTTTATATGAAATTCATAATATTTCATTTGAAATTCGAAAAATTACAAATTGAATTCTTTGAATTACAAATTATAATTCCTAATTACAAATTCTCGGATTACAACTGAAATGTTTTGAATTGTAATTGGAATACTCCAAACGCAAATGAAATTATCGGATTACAATTAAAATGTTTTGAATTGCATTCTGAAATTCAAACTTAATTTCATTCCTTGGCACATCATCTCATGACCTAAAAACAAGAATTTATAGCAACAACTTAACTTACCTGCAATTCGGCACTGTGTTCAAAGTGTATACTGCTGGGACGACCCTCCAGCGTAGAGAAAGCAATTTCACCATCTCGCAATGGTGAAATGTCACTGTACTCACTGGTACAGAAGGCATGTGCCTCACCCTCGCCCTTGCGTATTGAACGATAATCGGGCAGGGCATATGTGTCACGGCATGTGGCACTGTAGTATTGATACGGCTCCCAGGAACAGGTTTCACAAGTACGCTTATAAATGGCAAACGATTCGGGACGTGGTGAACGGAAGAGCAAACGAACATATGTGATATCAAATGATTTACCTGTTAAGAGTAGACAAAGAGGAAGGAGAGAATAAAAGAACAATCAGTCTTTGTTTTTGGTTTTATGTTTCATTCATTCATGTATTCATCACTTTCAAAATTGTGGTCATTGCCAGGCTGAACGTTTTGTTTCTTGTCTTGGTTCTAGACTACTTACGCAAATTCAATGTAAGGTTAACATGATTTGGATGTTGGATGCCTTCAAACATTGTCTCAGACTGCCACCACGTTGGATTCTGTGGATCATGCAAATCGGTTAAGAACGATGGATTGTGATCTTCCCATCTGTAATGTGAGAATTGCAAAGGTAACAAAAGCAAAAAAAAAAAAACATAAAATTAGTGTTAATTTGTCATTGTTGGTGTTGTTATTCCATTTGTTGTTATTTAATACAAATATGTGTTGTTGTAGTTGTTTGCATCGCATATTTACCTGCAGAATTCACAGTTCTTGTGATTTGAATTCATGGTCTGTACACAAAAGTGATTATCGCCTTGTTCGCCACAGGTGTTTGTCGCTTCAATTTGCAGTTGATAGGCAGCATTTATAAATTCGGGCATACATCTCTAAAAGTTAAAAAAAATATTTTAACAAAATAAGTATAATAAGTAAATCTTTGCTAATGAGTTATACATCGTTTGCTGACCAGACAAATGCATATTCATCAAAATTTCATTAAGGGCTGTAGATGCAAATTTTTCTTGGGATTTTTTTGCTTGTCGAAGTTTTTATTTAAACTAGTCTATTTATAAAGTACATCAATGCGAACGGAATTCGACATTTTTTAACTAAGTTGTTAAAACAATTTTTATTCCATCCACCATAGTATGGAGGGTATATTAGTCCATGTGTCCGGCCGTCCGTCTGTCGTAATCACGCTATCTTCTGAAGGAATTGAGATAGGGTGTGAAATTTTGCATAGGTTTGTCTTTTGTCTGCAGGCAGGTCAAGTTCGATGATGGGATATTTCGATCCACGTTGAGGCATCTTCGGTACGTTGGGGTTCTTGAGCGCGTTTTTTTCAACCGAACCGCTGCAATTTGGTATTTTGTAGTCGTATATGGTAACAAATCCCCCTATCAAAAATTATTAATATTCGCCCCCTTTTTGGGGTAGTTCCATTTTACCCTTCACCACAATGTGGTTGGTACAGGGTATTATGTCTTTGTGCATATGTTTGTAACAGGCAAAAGGAAACGAGATAGACACATGGTTCCTTTTGAGAATATGCATAGAATCACTTTCTGAGTCGATTTGTGCATGTCCGTCCGTCCGTCTGTCTGTCTGTCCATGTTAAATTGTAAACAAAGTACAGGTCGCATTTATGACCCGAATTGGATGAAATTTGGCATATGTCACTTATTCGACCCAAGGACGAACCCTATTGAAATTGGGTAACATCGGTTCAGATTTAGATATAGCTCCCATATATATATTTAACCGATTTAATGTAAACGGCCCTATATATCTTTCGATTTGCACGAAATTTGCTACAACCTAATCAACCTAAGGTCTAGAATGATGTCTGCCAAGTTTCGTGAAAATCGTTCCAGATTTAGATATAGCTCCCATATATAGTTTCGTCCGATTTCATGTAAATGGTACACCAAAGTCGCTATATATCTTTCGATTTGCACGAAATTTGGCATAACGTACTGAATTGAGCCTAGAGTGATGTCTGCCTAACCTGTGACAAGTTTGTTTGAAATCGCTTAATATTTAGATAGAGCTTCCATATATATTTTCGCCAGATTTCAAGTAAATTGGGCATCAAACTCCTCCTGTTAGTCAGATTGACATCAAATTTTGCACAACTTACAAAATTGAGCATAGAATTACGTAGTTGCGTTTTCTAGAAGTACAGAAATAGCCCAAAGGATGACCAATTTATATTTGTTTAAAGTCGATTTACATACTTTATGGATAGATCTAGGTAGATTCACATTTAAATAAATATCACATATTTTATTTCATCCAATTTCATGTTAATAGTCCTGTTTAATATACCCATAGTGGTGAAGGAACAAAACAAAATAATTGCTGCATGCAGCACAGAAAATCCCAATAAAAATATTGATTTTTTGGCGATGTTATACTATTTAACTACATATCTAAATGAATGAATTAAATTTATCAATTTTTTCATCCAATCCTCGTATAATTTTAATTGAAATTTTTTGTAGAAGTTTCATTTATTTTTGTTTGACAAAAATTAATTAAAAATAATTGATATGCTTGTGTGTCTTTTAAATTAATAAAGTGATATGGATCATGGAGTGTGTCTTGGTCAGCAGGAGGCATGGATGACACATACAACTGTTTGGTAAATCAATTGTAATTTTCAAACAAAAAAAAAAAAAAAAAATAATAAATAAATAAAATAAAATAAATAAAATAAAAAACAAGAAAAACTTACCTGAGGTTTACCGTATTTATCGTAACATTCTAAGGCTGGCATAAATGTAGTGGCACCATGACCCGTCGCCCATTGTGGCCCACAACTCAGCAATACCGTGGCCAACAGAGTCCATGAAATCATGAAGCGTTGTGTGGAGCAACAGCTCCACTTGCTACGTTTCATGGTGGTAGTGGTGTTGTGTAGTTCGAGTTGATGGAATTTATTTGGGACTAAAAATCGATGGCAATATTAGATTCGATTTCGTGTTTCTAATTCGTAATGTTGGATTTCAGCACATATTCAATAGATTCTAAAAAAGTAAAGAAAATAAAGAAAGTGAAATGAAATAGTTGTTGTTGTTGTTAGAAGTAAATATTGTCTGGACATATTTTTAGTTTCATTTGAAATGTTCACTTAACACCAACATATGGTCAACATATTAGCATTTTGTGTGGTCTGGTGAATGGACTGTACATCCGATTTAGATGTTAAAAACAGATTGGTAAAGTAAACATAAGTTATGTGTGGCTGTGTACATAGAGAGACATAATGCATAAATTATTCGGTGGTTGGCGTATTTATAAAACTATATAAAAACATGTATGATTTGTTTTACTCATCACAATTTTTAATAACTCGGTGGGGACCTTTATAGGCAGGTTATATTAAGGGAACCCCACCCATACTCTATTTTAATTTTTCAAGAGTTTCAAAAAATTTTTGTTATTGTTTTGTTGTTGTTTTTTGTAATTAAATAAAGGTCCTTATTTTTGATGGCGGGCATGATAACTCCTCACTGGAACATCGGAATCCGAAAATTCCAACGGTGTTAGAAAGAGTACATGTCTGGCTCTCGTATGAACTAACAAATTAACAAAATGGCGGACCTTTGAAAAAATATTTTTGGAAAATCGCCGATTTTTGACCAAAAACCAAGTTAAAAAATAAGGAAAATCTTCACCGATTGGTTTTGTCGATTTGGTTTAGATATGTTGCAAACAGAATAACAAATTTAATAAACACTCCACCTTATGTTGGTGCGTATAAAAACCGGTCTGCAGTAGTGGTACATTCATTCACTCAATTTGTCATTACTTTGCCGAATACAGTCCATAGATATGTATATGTACGCATATTCAGTGTAAACAATATAAACTTTGTTTGCTCTCATCATAAAATAATGGAAATATCAACAAATGACTGTTTTTGTTTAATAAATGAAGTCATAGAATTTGCTTTGAATATCGTTAGCAAAAATGCAAAAACGCGTAACTTACAAAAGCATAATTGTATAGGAGAAGCAAAAAACTGTTTTGAATGAAAACTATAAACATGTCATGTGAAATGAAAAAGTATGTCCGGCAGGGTGATATTGCATATGACATATTGCAGTCATAACAATTAAGTAAAAAAATTAATTTTTTGTTAGTTACGCCTTTTTGCATTTATCAAATAAACCCATTTGTAGTTGACCGCAGACGTGTAAAACTTTGTCAACACATGTAGTTTATTGACATTCACAATATTCATTCAAAAAGTCAATTTTCAATTTTTGTTAGTTACGCCTTTTTGCATTTTAGCTGACGATATATAATTTTATATTTTTAATTTTTTTTCGTTTGCGGTGCAAAATTTTTGATATATTGGATGTGTTTCGAATATGATAAAAATATAACTTGACGTAAAAATTGCTAAAAAAATGGTTAATATCTAAAACGAATCAAGTCAGTCCGAGATTTGTTGTTGTACCTCACCAAGTTCAGCCAATTCTATTGGTAAATTTCAGTAAATGACAGATTTTGGTACCTTGAAGGTAATCTAAAAATATGGACTTATGTTTAAATTGAAGTCGTCTGTCCACCATAAGCTTAAACTGGCAAATTAAAGATACCCCAATATTTCCAAGTTCGATGTAAACTATTAATTTTAATTCGGAATCTCTTTTTAAGCGGTTGGATAACTAACATTGAACTTTTACCAAATTTCGGTGTTCAGGCTCCATACGTTCCACTCTGTTTTTATGCCCTCCACCATAAGATGGAGTATATATTAATTTTGTTATTCTTGATCAAAATAAAATTCTATGTCGATTTACGGATGTCCGTCTGCTGAAAACACGATAGAGATCGCAATATTTAAGATGGAGCTCTAAAATTTTGCACAGACATTGCTTATACTCCTAGGATGTTCCTCCCAATATTCGGTATTGTGGAGATTTTGGTCGTTTTCCTACCGAATTGGCTATAATTTGGCATTTTGGGTTCTCATGGCACATCTACACATAGCACCCATATAACGGTACTTCCCAATTCTTGACATTTTGGGGGTTTTAAACATGGTATGTTGGGTACAACATGTTCCTTCCAAAAAAATATTATTATTGATCCAAGATTCAGGGCATATCGCTCATTTGCTGCAAGGCAGGCATAACTCAAAAAAAGTGATTTTCGAGTTAATGACTCTGATGGAAATACTATAAAATTTCCTATGTTCTATGAGTACATTGAAAACTTAAAACACATTTTCTGCAAAATCTTTTTTTGAGTTATGCATGTCTTACAGCATATGAGCGATATAACACTGCCCCCAATTTTCGGTATTTTGTGGTTTTTGGACACGTTTTCCAACTGAACTGGCTGTAATTTGGTATTTTGGGTTCCCATTGAATAACACATATCCGTATCAAAAATTATTAATATTTCAGGTTAGCCACTATATAACAGTAGGCCCCAGTATTCGGTATTTTGGATACGTTTTCCAACCAACCTGGTTGTAATTTGGTTTTTTGGTTTCTCATTGTATAGCACATATTATGAACATTTTGGACACGTTTTTTTAACCGAATTGGCTGTAATTTGGTATTTTGTAGGTCAATGAGGAGATCTATCTAGCAAAAATATCAATATTGATCTCCGTTTTATTATAGCCCTATATAACGGTAACGCGGCAGTAGATATTTTAAGAATTTCGAAAAGTTCAAGGTCCTGTAATAACAATGCCCCCATTAATCTATACTAATAAAAATTAGCTAAATTTAGAAGAAACAGCCGAAGCTAGAATCTTGAAATTTTAGGTGAGGGCATGTGTCCAAAGGTGGATAATTGAGCTAAAAACTAAATGTGATACCACTTGTATTTGGCAAACCAGTAGAGCTAGAACTTTGAAATTTGGATTGAGGGTCACTGATGGAGTGCAGAATAGATGTAGCAAAGGGCGTTTTTGAAATTCGAACTATAAGTATCCGAAAAGTTCTGAAATGTACTAAATTAGCTAAATTTGTACTAAATTAGCATGTGAATGGATTGAACTAAAAACTTCAAATTTGGAATGCAAATTAAGGTTGAGAAGTAGGGTGTATATAAGGATAGTTTGGAAAGCGTGTACTCATGTGTACGAAAAGTCCTATATGGTACTATATGGTACTATACTATATGGGGCTGGAATGCTGAACATTGAAAGTAACAGTACCGTCAGAGTGTAGGATTAGGACATGTACGTAGTTTTGGAAAAATTTTACTTACGTGCACGAAAAGTACTAAATCGTACTATAATTGGTACAATTTGGATTTGGGTGAACCGATAGAGCTGGAACAATGAAATTTGGAGTTAGAATCATTGAAGGGATGTAGGATTAGGGCCAGGATTCAGTTTAACAAATTAATGCTTATGGGTACTAAATGGTACTAAATTTGGTACAATTTGAATTTTAGGTGAACCAATAGAGCTAGAATCATAGAAATTGGAGTCAGGATCATTGTGGTGGTGTAAGATTGAAATATGTAGGAAGTTTTAGAAATTCGTACTAATGTGTACTAAATTTGGTACAATTTAAATTGTGGATCAACCGATAAAGTTGGAATCTTAAAACTTGGATTTATGATGACTGTGTGTATGTAGGAAGTTTTGGAAATTGGTACAAGTATGTACTAAATTTGGTACAATTTAAATTGCGAGTGCACCAATAGAGTTGGAATCCTAAAACTTGGATTTAGGATGACTGTGGGAGTGTAGGTTTGGAGTAGGAAGGAGGTTTTGGAAATAAGTACTACTGTATACTAAATTTGGTACAATTTGAATTGTGGGTGAACCGATAAATTTAGAATCCTGAAAATTGAATTTAGGATCACTATCGGGGTGTATGATTGGGGTATGTAGGAAGTTTTGAAAATTCGTACTACAGTGTACTAAATTTGGTAAAATTTAAATTGTGGGTGAACCAATAGATTTGGAATCCTGAAATTTGAATTTGGAATCATTGTTGGGTGTAGGATCGGGGTATGCATGAAGTTTTGTTGGATGGTTGAAGAGGGTACCTATGGAAATTGTGTGTGCTAAATGGAAAATTTGGATTTGGGTGAACATTTAGAGCCCGAGACATGAAATTTGGTACTAAATTTGAGTACCATCAAATTTAATTTTGTGTGGATTGTTTTTTTTTCGGACATATGCAGTTTACTGTGAAAATAAAATAATATGTTAATACATGTTTAAATTTTTTCTACATTCGCTAACGAAGTTGCGGGCATATGCTAGTTTTAGATATTTTTATTGTCATCCTCATGGTGGAGGGTATAAAAAGTTCGACCGGGCCGAATTTCGTTTTTACTTGTTCTATTTAAAACCTGTTAGTATTCCAAAAACATTTTGGCGGATTTAAAATTTCCAATAAGAATGATTATGGCGCCCAATAATTTTAAATCAATTGTCATATTCTCACTGCCTTTTTTCCAGCAAGATCTTAACTGATGATTAATTGTGCAAAGCACCGTATTTACTGCAAACTGTCTAAGAGTTGTTCGGACAAATGTAAAGGGTTTCCTCACTGGTTTCTTCGACTGCTATTGCGTGGTGTATCAAGACTTCTTGTCACAGGACCGTTCGGAATACTGCCTAAAAATATGCGCCGTTTGGACCAAGCAATTCGTCGGAAACACAGAATTGTAGAACATCATGGATTTTTGTCCATGATAACGCTCCAGCTCGCACATAGATGCTTTTGTGTGAGTTTTTGACCGAAAACAAACACCGGATATGGCCCCTCTTCTCTAAACTGAAGATAAAGATAAAAAATGACGTTGCAGAAGTGTTTCGAGGATCGGAAAAAAGGCTAACATAAAAGTATTATATCTAAGGGGGATACTTTGAATCGGTTGTTATTTATTAAAAATCAAACGGTTCATTTT